CAAGATCTGGAAACCAACTCAAATGTCTATGAACAAAGACAAGTGATCCTTGCCTCTCAGCTTCCCTAAGTGCTGGGATTACAGACGTGAGCCACCGCCCTGGACCTTTAGCTGTTTCTTAACTATTTTCAAAGAACCCTGTCAGTGCCTCAGCAAAAAGATAAGCCTGAGTGAAATTTCAATGATCCTTTTGCATTTTGATTAGAAACAGAAAGAAGAAAGTTCTTCAATCTGCTAGTGAATGAAATCAAAAATTCCTTTTTGCCAGAGGAAGTACCTGAAGTTTCTTTCATGTAAAAGTTAAAAGAAAATGTAAACTAGTTCCTTTTTTTGTAATGTTTAAGGTCAGGGTACATGTGCAGGTTTGTTACGTAGGTAAACTTGCGTCACAAGGATTTATCGTACAGATTATTTCATCAGGCAGCCAATAAGCCAAGTATCCTTATTTTTCTTGATCCTCTCCCTTCTCCCACCCTCCACCCTCCATCAGCGTGTGTTGTTCCCCTCTGTGGGTCAATGTGTTCTCATCATTTAGCTCCCACTTATAAGTGAGAACATGTGGTATTTGGTTTTCTGTCCCTGCCTTAGTGTGCTAAGGATAATGGCCTCTAGTTTATGGAAAATGACCAGACACATCAGAAAGTTCATGGTGGCAGGTACACAGAACTCTGAATTACTGCTTTTTAATTTATGCTTCTTCATTTTCTTCATTGATAAATGTTGGTTTCTCCAAGACACTTCTATAAGATTTTGTTTGTGGCAGCTCTTTTATGCCACTTAAAATTAGTTTTAAAAAGCTATACTGAGTTATAAAGATACACAGATAACTACACATATTTAATGTGTACAGTTTGATGAGTTTAGACATAAGCAAACACCCATGATATCAACATCACAATCGAGGTAATGGAAATATCTAACACCACCCAGGGTTTCCCTGTGTTCCTTTATTTTTGTTTTTAATTAGAAATAACTTCGTATTTATTTCTTTCTAAGCATTACAGCAATGCACATATGCCAGTTCACAAAACACAGAAAGTAACCTCCTCTTTCAAAAGACTTTCAGGCATCAGCAAAAATACTTTTCTCAACTACTCCCTAATTCTCTTTATGTAGGCATCTTTGGGTTGCACAAACACACCACATGCAGTGCTTCTTACTAACTCAATCATCAGTAGAATGTCTTTTAAAAATTCCCCTGTGTTTCCTTCTTTTATCATTAAATTTGAAGGAGAAAGAGTGAAATTCCTTGGAGGATCACAGTTCGTCAAACCTTTGTGTTTCCTGTGAGTGCATAAAGTATTTCATCATATTTCTTCTGGGAATTGTTTGTGACACTTAAATACCTCCTGCACACAGGAGTGAGGGTGGGATGAGCAAGTAGCTCAGACGATGACCAGATTAATTCACCGTGTTTCAGCTCTTCTCAGAATATATCTTTGGTTTAATCCATCAAAGAAGAGGAACACTCAACCTCTCACCAACAGGTAGAAAGCAGGCCAGGTCATAGGTGTGAATGTAGAAAGCGATGTGACCTGCTGGGTGGAGTGTTATGCTGCCCAGTGCCCTTTGAGCATGGGTTCTGCTTGGCACAAATTCCCTGCCATTTTAATATTGAAAAAAGACAAAGATCATGGGTTTGGTTTTTAGGATATCTCGTTACAAGTATAAATTCAAAAAACGCTAGGAATGGAAGATTCTACAGAATTTGTATTCGCCACCCCATCTGTATCACAGATAGGAAAGGTGCATCTAATGTAGCAATTTACTGAGGTCAAACAATTTATTCTTTAAAAACTGTAGGACTATAACCAGGATCTCCAGACTCTTGCTCCACTATTCTTTTCATATGAACTTGAAAAAGCAAGTGATACATAAAAATCTAAAATACATTTTTTCCTTTATTTACTTCCATAACAGAATACTTGTGCTGGTCTTTTGTTAAACATTTGAATTTATTAACAATGGAATATGCTTATTTGCTGAATATTCTACCATTTCTTTGAGTCTAATGGGCTGAACGTTGGCTATATGAGACTAAAAAGAAAAGTGTAGAGGTTTTCTTTCCTTTTGCCTTAGTCAAGCTCAATTTTAAATATTACATCCTTGTCTCTAAATATCATTTAATGGAATTGCTACAGAATTAAATTTGTGTCTCCCTAAGAGTTCAGGCAGTTTGTGATCCATCCTCTCTAGGGAATAAGCATGAAACATTTTTTCTAGGAATTGAGTGCATACTCATCTAATGAATTAAAACATCTATACTTGCACACAATGGCCAATTGCATTAAACACCTAGCACAGGATGTCACTAAATTCAGCCCTTTGTATATATTGTAATCAATTCTTACAGAAAGTTTTTAAGGGAGGCATTATTAGCCCCAATGAACAAATGAAAAATTAGGACTCCAAGAAACTGAGTATTATGTTGAAAATCAGGAGTAGCAGATGGTAAAACCTGAAATTGTCTGTCCACTATAAATGAGAGCAGGCAGGGTACTTTATGGCTGCTGAAGCACCTTCTAATGCACTGCTTTATTTAATCAGAGCCTTGAATCTGTAAGGGAGGAGGAATTATTTCATAATTACATTTCCAATCAAATGAAATGGATTGACTGGCACATACTCAGCTGTGGATTAGAGTACTGACTCCTAGTGCTTCTTACAAGGTTATCTCTTACTCCTTTAAATACTGCAATCTGGTATCTGCATTTTAATTAGTGTCTGTTTCCTCACCTATAAAGGTACAAGTATAGGCCAGGCACGGTGGCACATGCCTGTAGTCCTAGCACTTTGGGAGGTCAAGATCAGCTTGGCCTACATGGTGAAACCCCGCCTCTACTAAAAATAGAAAAATTAGCCAGGCGTGGTGGTGAGCACCTGTACTCCCAGCTACTCAGGAGGCTGAGGCAAGATAATTGCTTGAACCTGGGAGGTGGAGGTTGCTGCAGTGAGCTGAGAACACACCACTGTACTTCAGCCTGGGAGACACAGCAAAACTCCATCTTAATAATACATACACACATACATACATACATACAGTATAAGTATATGGTTGGCTACATGGATTCATTTTCAACATTAGGATTATTTTTTCTCTTGCTAAGGTTGAAGAATATGCTGACAAATAATATATCATTCTTTGCTGTTTTTTTGTTTGTTTTGTTTTTTCCTGGTGGGTTATTTTAAAATTCCTGCATGAAGAAATAAAGGGAAAAATGAATCCAATGATTACAGCACTACATAGGCAATTGGTAGCCCCGAATTCAATGGCTGATTCTGCAACTCAGAGAATCATCAAGTGACTTTGCCAGCCCCCTCAACCTAGGTTTTTATTTCCTCATCAATTTCATCTATGAAACCATGTCTGCATTCACATGTAGTGAGAAATAGCTGAACTGGAGTAGGGACAAGTATTTTTCTCTTTTTTGGTAGCAGCTTTATTCAGGTATAACTGATGTACAACAAATTAAATATGTTTAAAGTATAAAATTTGATATCACTTTATATATATATAAAGTGTATATGCATATGTGTGTGTGTGTGTGTGTGTGTGTATATATACACTCACAAAACCATTATCACTGTCAAGATAGTAAATAAATCCATTACCCCCAAAAGTTTCCTCATGCCTCTTGATACTCCCTCCCCTCCGTTCCACCTCACACACACCTCTATCCTGCCTCCTATCAATATTAATTATCTTGCCTCCTATCAATATTAATTGTCTTACACTTTCTGGATTTTTATAAATGGAATCATACAAGGTATACTCTTTATCTGCCTGTTTTCTCTCAGTCTAATTATGTTGAGATTCATTCACCACATTGCATGTGTGAATAATCCGATTCTTTTAATCATTAAGTAGCATTTCATTTTGTGGACATACCCTAATTTACTCACCCTGTCACCTGTGTACAGTTATTTAATGGCTGGATCATACAGTTTGTATGCGTATGTTTGAGTTTATAAGAAACTACAAAGGTGTTTCCCAAAGTGGTTGTACTACTTTACATTTCTACCAATAATGATGAAATTTCCAATTATTCTATTTCCTTGTCAACACTTGGTATAGTCAGTTTTTTAAAATTGTAATCATTAGTATGTAACATTATTTTATTGTGTTTTTAACTTGTATTCCCCTAATGAATATTTGAAGCACTTTTATGCATTTATTTGTTATTTGGCTATCTCCTTTGATGAGTAAGTATCTATTGAAATTTTTGGCCGATTCTTACTGGATTGTTGGATTTCTTATTATTAGGTATTAAAATGTCTTGGTATGTTATGGATACAAGTTTTTTATATCAGAAATATGTTTCTTTTTATTTTTCTCAGGCTACTCAGTAACTCCGGCTTTTAAAAAAATTATCTTTTACTGTCTTTTCTTGTATTTCTGACCTTCTGCTCCAAGTTTTTCACTTTCTGTATATGTGTGATGCGTTGTACTTTGAGGTCCTTGTGTCACTTATTTTCCTTTGTGTCTACCTGTAATGAAAATTAAAGTTTATTCATTATCTGCATTTATATTTGCTTTGTTTTAGAAAGAAGAAATACCCAACGCTGCTCTTCTTTACTCATTAATAAGACACACAATTGTGCAGACTGAGTCAAACATCTAGTACCATGTGATAAATTACCCCAGAACACCAAGGTCATTGGAGAAGCAGAAGTTGCCATTCCCAAGAAGTTAACACTTCCTTCTGTTGTGAATGGGCACGTGGAGAGGACACATCACCACTTTTAACAAAGCATTTGGGTTATTCTATCAGTCATAGAATCTAATTACTGGAGAGATTTTTACGAATCATCCTAAACAAAGCCTTCATTTACTGTAGAACTATATGTATACACACATACACTCTCTCTCTCTCTCTCTCTATATATATATATATGTATCTGGCATATGATTGTTTGTCTTTAGTTTGAATATTTTCAGTAACAGGGAATTTACTACATCCATCAGTAAACTAAATCCAGGCACATACAACCTTGAAGCAATGGATACAGAAAACCACTCAGTGGTGACTGAGTTTATCTTCATGGGCGTCACCCAGGACCCTCAGATGCAGATCATCTTCTTTGTGGTTTTCCTCATAGTTTACCTGGTTAATGTAGTGGGGAATGTTGGTATGATTATCCCGATTATAACAGACACTCAGCTTCACACACCCATGTATTTTTTCCTCTGCAATCTCTCCTTTGTTGACCTGGGCTACTCCTCAGCCATTGCCCCCAGGATGCTGGCTGACTTCCTAACAACGCACAAAGTTATCTCCTTCTCCAGCTGTGCCACCCAGTTTGCTTTCTTTGTGGGTTTTGTGGATGCTGAGTGCTATGTCCTGGCAGCCATGGCCTATGATCATTTTGTGGCTATCTGTCAACCCCTCCACTATCGCACCCTCATGTCCAAGCGGGTCTGCTTGGCTCTCATGCTGGGCTCTTACCTGGCTGGTCTCCCACACTACCCTCACCTTCAGCCTGAGTTACTGTGGTTCCAATATCATCAACCATTTCTTCTGCAAAATCCCACCACTCTTGGCCCTCTCTTGTTCAGACACCTACATCAGTGAGATCTTGCTCTTCAGTCTGTGTGGCTTCATTGAATTCAGCACCATCCTCATCATCTCCATCTCCTATACCTTTATCCTCGTTGCAATCATCAGAATGCGTTCAGCCGAAGGCCGCCTTAAGGCTTTCTCCACCTGTGGGTCTCACCTTACTGGCGTCACCCTCTTCTATGGCACAGTCATGTTTATGTACCTGAGGCCAACATCCAGCTACTCTCTGGACCAAGACAAGTGGGCCTCTGTGTTCTACACGATTATCATCCCCATGTTGAATCCCTTGATCTACAGTTTGCAGAACAGAGATGTGAAAGCTGCTTTCAAAAAACTAATTCGAAAAAACCTCAATAATAACACAAAATGAAAATCTGTTTCTGTCATAGGTAAATAATAGTAGTGGAAGGAGATAGAAAATGCAAATGATTTTTTGATAAACACTACCCAAGTCTCCTTGCTAAGTGAATATTAAATTCTGAAGGGGGGGCTCTAATCCTTAACTCTACAATCTGAAAGAAATATAAACTAAATTAGTATTTTTGAAAGACATACTGGGCAAGATGCATTCATTTCTTATTCAAAGCCGGTTTACATATTAATTAGAAATTGGGACAGGACTCAATAGGAGAAAGAAATAACCAATCACTCTGAAGCATTTTTTTTTTTTTTCCTGGGGTCATGAGGAATGCCAGGTCCAAATGTTGATTTTTTTTTTACTCTCAAAAGAAGTCAGTTAAAAACATGGAGAACGGGGTTGGTGTGAGCGAGAATTTAACCCAATCTGAGATCTATCCATTCATATATTTAGCAAAATATTTTAAGTGTTATGTATGTGCCAGGTTCTAGAGGGTATAAACACAAGGCTTTTTTTGCCAACAAGGAGTTTGCTGTGCTTTCAGTGACTGTATTGTCTTTCTGAATCTGCTGCCGCCAGTAACTAAATCAGTAACTCTGCAAAGTCCAAGGCTAAGAGCGGGGATTTAAGTTCTGCTGGTAACTAGCTGTAATTAAGGAATAAAATTGTCTTCTTTTTCTGTCCTCAGCTTTCCCTTTAGTGGGTTAAGTGGTTGGGTTCAACTAATAACCACGGGATTTCTTTGACCTTCTCTGCCTGATGTCAAAAGGTAGCAGGCATCAAAGTTTTGTCAACTTTATATATTGACATCTTCTTGGCCCTCAGAAAATCCAAGAACTCTGGGACTCAAAGATAAAGTTGGGTGCAATCTCTAAAGCTAATTTTAGCAAGATTGTAATGTCTACAAGATTAGCTTGCCTGTTCCCATCTAAAATTAGTCCAGTCTTGTATCTTAAATAGACCCCCACTTCCCTTGGGTGCTGTGGGTCTCCATGCCCTCCACCAGCATCCCCAGGCCCTTTTCAAATAAGTCTCATTAACCCTGATGTGTGAATGACTGACAAGAAAAAATTACATAATTTTTATTCACATGTTCTAAAGGCTACAAAATACTCAATTGAAAACAAGAATGCCAGGTATCAGCAGCAGATTGAGATCTTGGAAAAGCTAACATTTTCCCAGATGTGCTGAAATTCTGTCATAATAACAGTTTTGAATACTTATAATAAATCATCGTTCTATTTCAACCCTTCCTCCAGTGCAACATAGTTAAAAGTCAGGGGAACACAATGGTTGCTTTAAAGTGTAGAGCTGCCATATTCATCATGAAAGGCACTGAAGAGTTTTTAAGATTAAAAACCTAGGACTTACTGGGGTTTATCTGTACACAAGTTGTAATTGATCTAGTTTAAAATTAGTCATATCACAACTTATTTTGGGGAAAGAACCACCTGTAGCTAATGCACAGATATAGAGTTAACGGTTCAGAAACAGTCCAGATCTAGCCTTCAGTTTTTTTCACCATTGTGAAAATCAGGTATGCTCTGTGAAATATAACAAAAAAGGGCTTTCCTATACCATTAACTATAAACCAAGTACATATTATAATTGAAAGAGCAGTTGCCTTAGAATCAGGAATTTTGGAATCCCATTGCTAAATCTTTGATCAGTGACCTTGTGGCTACAGGGCTACCTTTTCTCATTTCCTGTACTCACACAATAAACAAACCACTGTAAATCTTATTAAATTCATACAATAATCATTTGAAACAGATATTACCCTCATTTTATTTTAAACTATTTTAATATTTTTAATTTTCTGGGATACATAGTAGGTGTATGTATTAATGGCATACATGAGATGTTTTGATACAGGTATACAATGTGAAATAAGCACGTCATGAAGAATGACGTCTCCATCCCCTCAAGCATTTTTCCTTTGAGTTACAAATAATCCAATTACATTCTTTAAGTTATTTTAAAATATGCAATTACGTTATTATTGACTATAGTCACCCTATTGTGCTACTGAATAATAGGTCTTATTCTTTTTCTATTTACTATTCATCCATAAAAAAAAGAATGAGATCCAGTCATTTGCAACAACATGGATGGAAGTGGAGATCATCATGTTAAGTGAAATAAGCTAGGCATTGCCCTAATTTTAAAGAGAATAAAACTAAAGCTCAGAGAGGTCAACAAATTTGCCAACATGAAGTGATAGAAAAAAAAAAAATCAATCCAAGGCTGCACTTTCCACTTACTACTGGCAAACATGCAGGTTTTGGACTATTTATACAGGAGCCTTCCATAGGTTCTGTTTTCCAGCTGTGTGACCATGGGCAAGTTACTTGATCTCTTTAAGCCTCAGTTTCTTCACACACCAAGTGGGAATAATAATACTTATCTTTTAGCATTTTACAAAAGATAAGCTGCAATCTCTAAAAAGTATTTGTTACATAAAACAACATTTAATAAACATGAATTCCTTGTATTTTCCTTCATTTATATGTTAAGTATTCATAATTATGCCATCAATGTGATATAATAAAATAAGGACAGTAAGTGTTTTGTTTTCCATGTAGTTAGAGGTAGAAATATTCACAAAAACATATAATGGCAAGGTAAAAATGGATAGAAGTTGGAAAATCTTGGTCTTAGTCCCAGTCCCACCAATAATTGTCTCAAAACCCTTAATCACTGTACCTCAGTCTCTTCATCAATAAAATAAGAACTATTTATACCTTATCTACCATATGTTTGCCCAAATAAGAAATCAATAAATATTTTGTGTTTTAAAAAGCCTGACTTCTCTTTCACAGATTAACAACTTTTTCCAGTAATAAAATCAAACAAAGGTAAACATGCCAATCATATTCTCTACAGTATGCTGCAAAATCATATGAATTGAGGTTTTCTCCAACCAACCAAGAGGTGGTAACCACTGTACTGGGAGTTGTGAAGGCAAAATTGATGCAGAAATGGTTAAGAACAGAGATGTCAGAATGAGATATAGCTGAGATTCAATTCCGCATTCTCTATTCTTGAACTATATGGCCTCAGGTGAGAATTTTCTAAGCAATCTGTGCTTAAGACTTGGTGGACAGTATAAGATATACACCTGATCTCATGGAGTTTGCATTTGTAGGGAGATAAAATAGATCAAATACCTCGTATCACAGGAAAAATAATAAATGCCAAAAATGAATCACAAAGTTCTGTAATAGCTCATACTAAAAGATATCCTCTCCCAAGGGAGCATTAGATTAGAGGCTTTATGGAGGAGAGGGAATTTGGATTGTCTTTGAAACAAGGAAAGAGGAAAGCAAATGAGATAGAAAATATCAGAGGGAAGAAACATACTGAATGAAGGCAAAGAGGCTGGAAACAATGGAATGAGGCCATTTGGGTTGGGTGCCCAGTGGAAGGGTTGAAGGTGGAATGTAGCTTAATAATCAGGCATCAATTTAAAGACATGGGAGTTTATCCCTTGACAGCAGAGATTTCTGTCACATATCCATTATTAGAGCAAACTTTGGGAAAACAGTGCAGCCACACAGCCATCAGGCTGGCAAATCCAAGTAGGTAAGCGTTTTCCAGGTGGGTTAGTGGAGTCTGGAGCTTAAGGATTAGCATAATAAAATCATGCACACGGAAAAATGTCCTGTTATACTTAGTTCAGTGTGACTTTAACAGTGACTATAGCCACAATTATTCTGAAAACATATATTGTTACAGGTATTGGGACATCTGGACTTTGTTGTTGTAGGAGTTTGTCCTCATAGGCATTACCAAGCTACTTCCTTAGCTGTGAAAATCTTAGGACCCTGGGTCATGACTAGTAAGGAATGTGCCTTGCTAGTTTTAAGATGGAATTGATTTTAAAATGGTGTCACTCTAGCTCCCCTAGGCTCCTGCTTCCCTAGCAATATTTCCTGGGCCATATTAAGTGGGCAGCCAATGTTCATTGATCAAATGAATGACCATACCTTGCTGGGCTAGAGAAGAACTACTGAAACCTAGATCCAACTCTGGGTCTTAGAAAATGTACTGGAGATATGTATGAGCTCCCTAAGATTCATAGGACAGTGTTAGTAGCCTTATTTCTCACAATGATAATGATGACACTGGAGTTATGAAAGTTTAAATGCCATGTCAATGTGCTTTTAGCTTATAAGTAGTGGAGCTGGAATCAGAACTATAATTTCTCCTGATTCTTACTCCAATATTTTATAGCATAGAGAAATATATTGCACTGTAGAAAGTGGTTACCATGATTAGCATTGGGGAACAAGTTTAGGAAACTTCTATAAAGGGCTGGATGTATGGATTCTTCAGTCTAGTGATTTGATTAATCGGTCAGGATTCACACAAGATTGTATTATGATGCACTTGTTGAAAAATTCACATTTGCCTATGACTATGGAGAGCTAAATCTTAGCAAGGTCAAATAGACAGAAAGGCCATTATAACATGAATAGGTAGAAAAGAAAGAGGCAAAATAAGAGCTGATATCCAAGAATCATTTCGGGTTCCGTATTCGCTGAAAGAGTGATATTGATTAGGCATAGTTAGTTTCACTATGAAACAAAGTCCTTCTTAACATTTTATAAACCTCACACCACTTTGTAATTGTGGTACTAAGTCTTTTCAAGTTAAGAAAAAGACAACCATTAGGAAAAATGGTAACAGAATCTATGATAGTAGTGTTTATTATATCCTCTGTACCAAAAGTGATGACATTAAAACCTTCCAATGTTGCATTATTCTTAAAATCAAACAGCCAAGTCCAAAAAGTGAAAATGAAAAAGCTATCTCAGAAGAAATTTTGACAGTTTATAGTAAATCTATTTTCAAGGACAATAGACATGATGATGTCAGATAGAAAGATAGATAGATAGATAGATAGAGGCATGAACCTGGGAGGCGGAGCTGGCAGTGAGCCGAGTTACTGCCACTGCACTCCAGCCGGGGTAACAGAGTGAGACTCCGTCACAAAACAAAAACAAAACAAAAAAATGCAATTGTTCTTTTTTCTAACAATGATTGTAATATATATCATATAGAATTACCAGCTAAATATCTTTAAAATATCTTTTCTTTTTATGTCAAAAGAAACAAACATATAGGCAACGTGGAAACTTTAATTGAAGTCTAGACAAGACATAGGATAGGAAACAGGCTATCCAGATTGCATTATTTGTTTTAGTTCACCCAACTTTAAATTACTGACTACAAACACACTGGTCAAAAATGAATGAATGGATTCCCGTTTTCACCAA